TAAAATAGTCTCAGGCCCTTCCTGGTGGCACAGGAGTTAAAGTCCCAGCACTATCATGCTGTTGCCACTGTGGGATGATTTCGATCCCCGGCCAGGGAGCTGACCTACATATGGCACAGCAGACCTCTCCTGTCTCACTTACTGCTCCCCTTCACAGTGTACTTCTGTAGATATGCCTGTTTTACTCTCTACTCATCCCACTCGCCTCTGGCCTACAACCCAGCTTCTACACAAAGTAAATGAATTAATAAAATTTAAAAAAATAAGTAAATAAAATAGTCTCAGACTGTTAAAGATTTGGTCCTATCTATTCTAAAATATCAGTCTCATTTTTGATTCAGAATCTTCCTTATCACTCCAGGAGAGAGACTCATTCATCTGTCTATCTATCACTCATCTCTGTATATGAAAGGCTATAGATGTATAAATAAAGAGAGAGAAATTATGAAGCCTTGGCTTACACATTTATGGAATCTGGGTAATTCCACAGGGGGCTGTCTGTGAGCTGGGAGCACAGAAAAGTCACAGATGTAGTTTGAGGGCCTGAGAGTTGTAGAGCCAATGGCGTAGATGCCCTTTGACTTAGAAAGCCTGAGAACTAAGAAAGCCAGGGACAGATCTATGTCTCAGTTTAAGCAAAATGGTTGAGACCAAATTTAAGGTTCCACTGCCTTTTTGTTCTATTCAGGTATTCAATAGATCAGATGAATCCCACTCAACTGGAACAGGGTCATCTGCTCTACTCAATTCATCAATTCAAATGCTCAGTAATTCCAAGAAACACCTTCATAGATACCAAAAAAAATATCAATAACATTTAACAAGATAAGTGAGCAATCCATAGCCCATTCAAGTCAATTCATAAAATTAACCATCACATACTCCTTCCTTGTGTTTACTCACAGGTTTGAGAGTTTGGAGGAGGGGGATAAAACAAGTCTTTCCCTGACTACTTAGGGTTAGGTTACTATCCCTTTGTGATTAATCATCACTGAGGCCCCCCAAGTTAGACTTTGTAGACTAGATAGAACCACACTCAAGCAGCTCTTCTAGGCTGAGAACACATTATTTTGGTAAAAATGATTTATTTATGCATACAAGAACTTGGGTGCAGGCCAGAGGTGCAGGAGGGTGAGAAGATTCACCAGAGACAGGGTGGGGGACAAAACAGGCAGATCAATGAAGTACACTGCTGAGGGGAGACACAGGCAAGACAGGAGAGGTCTGCCGCACCACATGCATCAGCTCCCTGGCCAGGCAATGAACTAATGTTGCAGTGGCTGCCGATAGCTTCACAGGGCTGAGACTTAAAATCTTGCACCACCAGGGAGACCCACATGGTATTCTTTGATTCAAAAGTCTCTTTGTCCTGTTCTATAACAGTTTCTGCTAAGCCTGGATTTCAATAACTCTCCTTTCTCCAGCTCCAACTCCAGAGTCTATAGGCAAAGTAGGATTTCTTTTTCATGTCTCTCCAGAATTGGGAACTTTGTTAGGGCATCAATCCTAGTCCTATATCATCTCCCCATAATGTTCTCTCCAGGCTCCTATAGCATCAAGGTAGCTCAAAATCTCAGCAGTAAAGTATATATCTAGTTGTGGAATGAGAAATAAACTATACACTGTATATTTTCCTAAACTTTATGTACAATTCTTTTAAGATCCTACTCTTGTGTCTTTGGGGAAAGTGACAAATCACATGTTATCATCTATCACCATCATGGGAGATAAAAAGAGGGGATAGGTTTTCTTCACAAGCATGGCTTTCATCAATGTTGATCCAGTGTCCTCTTTCCTAATAAGACTCTATCCTTGTGCTACTTCAGGGTAAGAGCCATCAAATCAGTTCGCATTTCTCTGTCCTTCCAGGGCACATGTGAGTCCCAAACTAAGACTTGTGTTTTTCCAAACTAAGCCTCAGGAAAAAAATATATTTTATGATTTTGAATTTATTTATTTTTGCATAGAGGAACTGAGGTACAGACCAGAGGTGCAGGGAATGAGAGGATTCACCAGAGAGTGGGTGATTCTTCTGGGTGATTCTTCATAGAGTGGGGAGCGGAACAGGCAGACTGACTGACTGACATACATTACTGAGGAGAGCAGCAGGTGAGACAGGAGGGATCTGACATGCCATGTAGGTCGCTTCTCTGGCAGGGGATGAAACTCATGCCATAGAGGGGAGCCCTAGACCACCAGGGAGGCCCAGCCTTGGAAAAATTTTAAATTTTGTTCTCAACAGGTTATCATTTCTCTGACTCCACAGAAAACGCCAAGGACAAGAAAAAAAGTCTCATTCATCACCTCACAACATTTTAGTTAAAATAACATCATTTCTAGGACAATTTCCAACTGCATTTAAAACATTACTTCATTACAACCAATCTCCTGTACAGCATACTTCCCATCTGGGAAAATATAAAAATGTATGCTTTCAAGCTCAGAACATTTGGTGGTTTCAAGTGTGTCAAAAAGACAACAAAGCATTTAGCCACTGAGAGAGAAAAATATACTTGATAGGACATGGTTATGTCACAATGGTTTCTCTATTTCTAGGAGATTCTTTCTAGGGTCATTTCTAATTTTCATAAAAGTTTTTTTCTACTGGTTTAAAATATTTCCCTGAATGGGAAGCAACCAATCAGCTTGAGTAGTGGATTCATTCAGCCAACAAATATTCACTAATCACAGCCTTGCTACAAGGAACTCTCTAAGTCACTGGGCATGCAAAGTAGAACAAAGCCCTCAAGGATTTTAAAGACAAGTGGCTCTACCTAAAAAAATCGTGCTCTGCCTACTCTTCAAATCTTATAAGAAACCATCCAATAATGGTTAAAAAAAAAAAAGAGCAATGAGTCAACTTTAATTGATGACTTAACAGGCTCTATGGAAAGCACTTGGTATATGTGATTTACTTCTAACAATCCCGGTTTCACAGAGAAAGCATAGAGACCTTTCTAAGTAATTGACCCAAAGTCACACATCATGGGCCCTCCCTGGTGGTGCAGCAGGTTAAAGGGTAGCACTATGAAGCTATCCACAGCCACTAGCAAGAGTTCAATCCCTGGCCAGGGAGCTGAACCACATGGTGCAGGTGACCTCTGTAAATCTGCTTATTCTGCTCCCAGCCCTGTCTCTGGTGAATCCTCTCATCCCCCACATCTCTAGCCTGTATTCCAGTTCTTGTATACATAAATAAATAAATCTTAAAAACAAAACAAAACAAAGTCACACATCGAGTAAGCAGCTGAGTCTGTGTTTGAGTCCAGCCAGGTTTGATACTATAGCTCATGCTTCCAGTCAGCATCCTGCCAGCTGATGTGATTAATACAACTATTTGCATGAAGAATTAACAGTGAAACAGAATCCAGGAATCAGTAGCATTTCTTTAAAAGATAATTATTGGGTGTGATGTATCTACAGAAGTCTAAAAGCATATATACATGTATGTGTGTGTGTATGTGTATATACACACATATTTTTACATCTTTAAAACCTCAACTATATATGCCCGAGACATATATTCTTCCATTATTCAATGTCTCAGCTAGTTTAGTAGGGTAAGAGATTACCTAAGATTTTGGAGCCAGACCTACAGGCAGTAAGCATTGTCTGGTCCTGCTGTCTCAGTGCACATCTCTCTTTTGGCTCCAACCAACACCTAACAAATATATTTTTTTAAATAATAAGGCCATTATTTCCCTAAAGACATCTCTATTTCTGACTGTGCTAAATTTGTTGTTATTTCAAGTTAGAGAATGGAACCTTTATAATCAAGATGAGTTTCTGTCTTAAGTTCGGTTGTTTTATAGACTCCCTGCTTCTATTTTATTATATTTTTACATTCATATCAAAACACAGGTGGCTTTGGAACTAACTTCTACATATTACAAACTTAACTTCTGAGATAGTTGTCAGGGTGGTTTGGAAAGGAAGGCAGGAAATAAAAGGGCTCCTTTCCTTCAAAGACTGTGATATCAAAAACATCACCCAAATTTCCTAAGAAGGCCAAGATGTGACAACTGAATTTCTCCCTAAGAATTTACAGATTACTTTGAAAACACCAACTGGGTTCAGGATGAGTCCTCCTTACTTGGAAAATAAAATTTTGAATCGAGCTTGTATATCTCAAAAGAAATGTTGATATTACGTGGAGCTCGGGAAAAAAATATTTTCTGAGTGATACAGGTGAACACAGTCAAACAATACAGGATGAAGCATTTCTTTCAAAAGTGAAACCTCGTAATTTTTAGTTTTTTTGTGGCATGCTGATTTAAAAATAAAATTATCAAGCATATATACGGCCACCGCTATCTCCCTGCCTCTCTTCTCATAAGTCCCCCGCACCCTCCCCACTCCAGCCCTCTCTTAAATGGCCTCGAAGGGTTTGAGCAGAAGGACTGGGTGGGCGATGGAGGCTGCGCACTGGCGGGGTGGGGGAAGGGGTAGACGAAGTTGGGGGAACTCAGACGTGGACTGAGAGCAGCGGAGAGAAAGCCGAAAAGGCCGAGCCTGGGCCTGGGGCGAGAGTGGGACAGAAAGACGGTGTCACAGACCCTCCGTGGTAACAAGAGAAGGGCCAACTCTGAGCGCGAGGAGGTGATGCCACTTGTGGGCCCTCAGATTGGAGAGGGAGAGGATGAGTGACAGACAGGGCGGCGCGCGCAGGGACCGCGCGCACAAACAGAAGGAGGGGGCTGTCTGTGCGTGTGCTTGAAGCGGTCGGGGGCGGGGGGACGAGTTGGGGGGCGAGCTCGGCGGTGACGCGGGGCCCTCACGTGACAGGGAGCTGCAGAACGACGCAGCCTTCGGTGCAGTCGTCACTCGCGTCTGGGTACCAGGTCCCCGCTGCCCTGCGCGCGGCGGGCTGGCATCGGGCCC